CAAAGGCTGCTCGATGTTAAAGGATATAGTGAATGCACACGGGGAGGGGAAGTTTGGGAGGTATTTTTCACCAGGGCGATTGCCATGGTAGATTGGATAGTATGATATCACTCTCTTTGAACATGAAATAGATTGGATGTTCCTTGCTAGTGACTAAAAACTACCTTCTGATTTAGGATAAAATCAGGTCTAGGGACCAGTCCTTGGGGGGAAAAAATACATCATTCTTGGAAAGGTAGAGGGTCCACGAGAGAGGAGGACCTTCAACGAGAGAGGAAGACCTTCAATGAGAGAGGAAGGCCCTCAACGAGAGAGGAAGACCGTCAATGAGAGAGGAAGACCGTCAATGAGAGAGGAAGACCTTCTACGAGAGAGGAAGACCTTCGACAAGAGAGGAAGACCTTCAATGAGAGAGGAAGACCGTCAATGAGAGAGGAAGACCTTCTACGAGAGAGGAAGACCTTCGACAAGAGAGGAAGACCCTCAACAAGAGAGGAAGACCTTCGACAAGAGAGGAAGACCCTCAACCAGGTGGATCAACCCTGTGACAGTAACAATGGGTTTAAGTTCATGAGAGATGATGAGCACAGGATAGACCACAATCCAGACCCACTGGGCAGAGTCCTTGTGAGTCCGAGATGACCCGAGGGCACCTCATGACAGCAACTTATGTACCTCAACTTACGTTCCTTGTGCTGATGGAGAAGAAATGCCCTTCGTGCTTAAGGGCAGATCTGCATTTCTCTCGGTGCAGGAGGTCTGGAATCTCGGTTTGAGGACTTTGTTGGCTGCACAGAGGCAGGGTTCTTTCTTATCTATTTCAGTGAATTGGAGCTCCCGACCCTCCTTGGTGTGGATGTATCGGTTTCTTCTTCCTTCTTTGTGTCTCTGTCCATTCTGTTTCTTTTATAATTCAGATATCAGTAGATTTAGGACCCACACTATTCAGATGTTGTTGTTAAGTGCTGTCAGGTCACTCGCGACTCATAGGGACCCTATGGACAGCAGCTCTGAAGCCTGCCCTGTCCTGACCAGTCTCATAGATTCCAACACACATATCCTCATTGCCCCAGTTACTGTATCAGCCCATCTCATCTGGGGTCTTCCTCTTCTGTGCTATCTCTCCATCTCTCTGAGCATGATGTCCTTCTCCAAGGACTGGTCCATCCTGGCCACATGCCCAAAGTATGTGAAATGGAGCTTCAAATCCTAGTCTCCAAGGAGAAACTTGGTTTTATCCACCCTCTCTAAGACAGACTAATTTGATTTCTTGACAGTCCATGGTATGTTCAAGCTTCTTCTCCAGGACCACAATTTGAAGGCCTCTATACTTCTTCTGTCTTCCTTAGTCATTGTGCAGCTTTCTGAAGCATAACAAGACCATGGCCTGGGTCAGGCTAGTCTCTAGACTGCCATTATTGCTCCTCAGGACTCTGGAGAAGTTCCTGACAGCAGATTTTCCCAATGAATCCATCTTTTGATTTCCTGACTGCTCGTGCCAAGGGTGTTGATTGTGGAGCTGAGTAAACTTTCAGATATATAACAACAACAAAAATCTGTATTTCCAAATGGGGCAATTTTTCTAGATATGAAAGTCTGGATTTCAGCATATAGTTATGGGGGACACAAATCAATTCATAACTGGAGATGTATGCATTTGAGCTAAAATTAGAGAGATAATAATTAACAGAGGTCAACAGAAGAAAAGACATAACTGGCTTAAGAGAATGCTTATTTAGGGGTAGATGGAGAGAGTTTGCTCATGTAATATTATCTTCGTGGTATAATTTTAACTTATGCTGCTTCAGTTTTTCTTAAAATTTGTGACATTTTGAAATTCACCTTAAACTATGAGATTTTACTTCTAAAAACTTTATGAATAGGAATTGTCAAATACTTTATTCCAGCCATCCTTCTTTTTCAGATGAAATTCCTTTATATATTAATTTGTCAAAATAAAAGCATTACTAGACTGGTTGAAGAATTTGGACTATAGCAGATGTACTCCCAGACAAAACTCTCTTTTCAGTTAATCTAAGCTATGTTACAATACAGATGGAAGAGAGAATACAAAGCTGTTAGGGACCTCTCCGAAGTCCGGAAGAGCAATGGTGTCTCTCTGGAGACTAAGGTGCATCTGATACAGGCCATGGTCTTGTCAATCATTTGCTTTACATTAGGGAGGATAGAAGGAGAATTGATGCCTTTGAGCTGTGGTGCTGGAGAAGAGTATTGAATGTACCATGGACTGCTAGGAAAACAAACAGATTCGTCCTGGAAAGGGTTAAACTGGTCAGCTCCCTGGAGGCAAGGATTCTGAGGCTCCGTCTCACATAATTTGGACATGTTGTAAGGTCCTTGGAGAAGGACATCATGCTTGGTTGGGAGGGTGGAGGGACAGCGCAGGAGGGGAAGGCCCTCTATGAGGTGGATTGATTCAGTGACTGGGGTAATGGCAGTAGGTGTGTCAAAGACAGTGCAATTGGTACAGGACAGAGCAGAATTTAGGGCTGTTGTACATAGGGTCGCTATGAGTCGCAAGTGACTCGACGGCACATAACAACAACAACAATAATAATGCAGAATAATCAATGAAAAGGGTTTATTTTATTTTTGTATACTAAGCATACATGTATCTGTAAGTAGTTGGAGATGAAAAAGTATTATTTTAATGTTCTTTAAAAGAATGAATATTAATGTTCTTTGAAAATGACAAAATAGAAGAAAATGTCATTTACTAATATTTTGAGTCATTATGAATAATCTCCTCCCATGGGATTTACTGCCTCTGAAAACCCATAGAAGGACCAGCTGGGAGTTGGTTCCGACTCGATGGCACAACAGCCACATTAACTTGGCTTAGACATTTTAAACTATGCACCAAAATGGGATCTATTTCTTTTTTCTACTTCAATATGAAAACCTCACTATATATTCAAGATACAATTATTTAATGGACGAACAAATGAACTGAAACAATCACTAGGGACCTGACGAATGTCAAGTTTGATTAAAATTAGACTTTCTTACTTCTATGGAAAAGCCTCTGAAATCTGAAAGTTCTTTTCCTTCTGCATATTCATAACAAATATTATTTACAGTCATTCTTTACAATTCTTTCGTTACCTTCTCATAAGCAAGTTTTACTGTTTGCAGGTCCTACAGTCCCTGAGGAAAGGCTTAAAATTATTATCCAATTAGGATAGTGAAAGAATAACATTTTTATGATCACAAATCTCAAGAGTAGTATGATTAGTTCCAACTTTTATTTTTCCATAATAGGTAAATTGAGCTCCAAATATTTAGATGGAGCCATAAAAATTGCTGGCAATTTTATAGGGTAAAGCTACTACTTGCTGCTTCCTCTAATCAAGAGGCAAGATTCTTTTAACTTAGTAGGGATAACGTTTTAGTAAAAATTTTATGATGTTTGTGATGACCATCTTGTATTTGCACTCATTTCCAAATTCTCATCAGTAGGGTCCCACAGTAAGGTCAATTCATCACCCAAGTTATTTGATACCCCTAGAACTTAAGCTAAAGAGTAGATCTTCAAGGAATAAGGAATGCAATGAATTGCTTGTTAATTGAGTAAGAGTTAACAAGGAGAGAAGCCTGGGATTTTATTAAATGCCACGTGAGGTTAAGTGGGAAACGACGAGGGACCAGGAGACCATGGTGGGTGGGGCAGTGCACAAACCAGGAAGAGTAAAGAGACTACAGTGATGATTATTTCTTAGCTTCTAGTTCTCAATTTTAAATTTTGTTTTAGCTTGTTCTAGAAGAGAAGAAGCTTCACATAGTCTGAAGAAGATATGGAGGAAGGAAGTAGCTATGAGAGTAAATTTTCAAAGAGTTGAACAATTTCCATTTTGAAATGAGTTTCCGCATGACCTGTGTGGCCCCAGGAAGGAGGTCAAGCAAACCAAGTCCACTGCTCTAAGTCAATCGTGACTCAGGGTGACCTACGGCTTCCATCTCAGTAAATCTTTATAGGATGGGACTACTTCTTTTTCTCCTGGGGAGTGGCTGGCAGATTAGAACCTTAGCCAGATATTTAACAAATGCTGCTTGGACTCTTTAAGAGAGCATATAGTCACTGTAAATGATGCAAACAATTTACTAATCAGAAAAAGGAATGCCTTTGGCACGCGATCTTGGATTTGTGTATATTTCAGCAGAAAGTTACTGATAAGAAAGTTACTGATATCTTGAGATGTTAGCTAGTGAGTTGGATAGGAGAGTAGCTGTTTTGTGAATGAGATTTGAGTAGTTAATCTAAGTTTTCCTTGACATTCTTAGAAAATATGACTCTTTTCTTGGCATCTAGTTGACTCTTGGCATGACTCCTTATTCTTCAGTTAGTTATTGGTCGACTTACCTCATTGCCCCTGAGACTGAGCCAACTCAGAGTTAATGCCCACTGGGTTTCCAAGACTATACATGACATGGAAAGAGATTGTCTATCTTTGCCCTGAAGAGACATTGATGGATTCGAATTGCCTGAGAAGCATGGCCAGTGCCCCTATGGACTACGCCGCCAGAACTCTCTAGTTATTGGTCAAGTGTTCCAAACACCAGGGCCACTGACTATCACTCACTGATCTCTGCCTTTCCTTGGTGATACCACTTATATTGCCTCTAGAATCTGCTTTTCGCTGGTCATAGATGAACAAGAATCCATGAAAATACAATGCTCGGATTTTAAAGGATCATGTTATTACAGCAGCATGACTGCAAAAATAGTTCTCTCAAGATGTATAAAATTTATATTGGGCTGTAAAACCTAAGTATAGGTCAAGGGTTAACAACCTGGAGTTTTGCCTTTAAACTTTGCTTCAGAAAAGCCCTGCATTATAGAAACATTACTATTGGGTCGCTGCCTTCTGATTGATATGCCCAAAGCTACCTTTTCCAGCACTCTTTTACACTCTAATCATTCTTTTTGGTTCTGGAAACGAGATGAGCTCCTCCTCCCGAGTCGGGGCATCGATTTTTACCTGCCAATACAGTTTAAGGAGCCTGCTGATGCCGGGCTCCCTTCCTCCACAGAGCCAGAACATGTAGTCGGCGATCATGGCGCTCCTGTGGAAAGGACAGATTACGTTTAACCCAAATTTACCAACCAAGGTGCCTCCGTAACAGGAAAGACACGAAAGTTTTGAGAAAGAAGTCCTACAATGAACAGTTTTTGACTAGACTCTTCCTAAGGAAAGCATAAAGCCCATTTTAGAAAGCAGAGGTACTTTAGTTTCATTTCATTAAAGCTAATCTAACAACTATAGAGAGAAGTCATTTTTCTTCTAGGTAATTTTCTATTTGTTCAAGGTAAGAATCTGTAAAGGCTTTAAAAGAATGCTTTATTTTTGCTGGCCTCTTTAAAAAGTGTCGAAACATTGGTAGACTAAAGCATGTTTTTTTGTTGTTGTTGTGTACCACAGAGTCAGAACCGACCCATAGCTGACCCTTGGTGGGTGTTCAGGGGCAGTTAATTGCACAGGAGAAGATTGCCCATCTTTCTCCCACGGAGCGGCTGGTGACTTCAAACTGTGTGCCTATGAGACTGCAGCACAGCTTCTTGCCACTGGGCCATCAGACCTCCCTAAGGTATGTTCTCTGAAATGCTCTCAAACTTAGCATGGCAAGTGTTGTTGTTGATGGCTGTCTGGCTCCTGGAACAAGGTCATGAAATGTTGCTGGGTCCTGGCGAGCTTCGGATTATTGTGCTCATTCACTGTCACGAGCTCCGTTGTCACGATCTGTGTATATTTTGAGTGACTTCTAACCTGCGGAACTCATCTTGCACCACTCACTTTGCCTGGGACCCTTTGTGTTTTCTTTGCTTCGGTTTTGGAAGTAGCCTATCAAGTCTTTCCTCCTACTCCTGCTTTAATCTGTGAGGTCCATTTAAACCATGGATGACCCTGCTAGTACTTCAAATGCTGCTGGCATCACTTCCAGCATCATAACACAGGCCAGCTACCATCAGAAGGCCACCTGAGTAGTGGATAGCGTATGTGGCTACTACTGACGTGTGAGCACATTTTAGGCTTTGTCTGAGTTAAAGATTATTCATCTCTGATTAAATTAGCCTCCTTAAAATTGAAAATGGGGAGGGGGGGAAGATCCAGTTCAATACACATTTCCACTCCACAATCTTTGTGTCTAATTGAATTGGTTTTAGTGTCTAGTGTGTATAACCACCAAATTAGTCTTATTAAGCTGAGGGGATATTAAAAACTATTGTGCAATGGATATTAATTCATTGCTTAGCACCCTTTCGAAAAACAGTTTACTTTTATGACTGTTTCTCTGCTAGGCGTCTGTATTTCTTTTCTCTAGAGATTCCAAATCCAATTAAATGTGACTAGAAGTAATTCCAAATTGTCACGTTAGCCAATTAAACATATAATAATCCTGTGTACCTAATCAGTAGGACCAAAAGTTTATTTATTGGAGTGGAGCTATCACTGTGTACCCCTGGATGTTTTTCTTATCGTTGCCTGCAGATACGTGTTGTTTCTTGACATCATTGTAAATTGAATTAGAAATTTTCCTTCCCTAAATATAAGTTGTGGAAGGCACAGCAACTCTAAGCTCACTCTAGCACCCTGTTGAAAGAATTAAAATGTTTATATTCTTCCTAAGGATTGACAAAAATAAAGACTTTATAAAATGAACAATAGAGACAAATGCCACCATTTAGAGGATTACTTAGCTCACTCGCTCTCTTTCTTATTGCCTTCAAGTCAGAACCGACTCAGAACTGGCCCTCCATTGGGTTTCAGAGGCGGTAAATGCTGTGGTCCTTGGATTAGCAAGCTTTCTATGGGTTGTGCCACTAGAACTAGGTTTGTCTCTCTGTTTCTTACCTGTTTCGCTCTCTCTCTGGGCTCTTTCTCTCTCTCTCTCTCCCCTCCCCCACCTCCCTCTCTCTCTTCCACCCTCCCGTTCTCCCTCCCGCCCTCCTCCCTCCCTCTCCCTCTCCCTTTCTCTCTGTCTCTCTGTCTCTCTCTCTCTCTCTCTCTTTTTCTCTGGTGGCCTAGTGGCTATGGGTAGATTATGACTCTACAGTACAAAACAACAATAACAACAAATACATCTATATCTATTTCTTTTTTCCTCTTTTTAAATTAATTTTAATGAAAGTTTACAGAGACTGAGGGTATCTATATCTATTTCTATATCTTTATCTTTGGAAGCAGGCATCCATTTTCTAAATACCATGCCTCCAGGAACTCTATGAACTTTGATAAATGTCAATAGTTGTAGAGAGTCTTCAGGCATTTTGTTCATAGGGTTGCTATGAGTTGTGCTTGACTTGAAGGCAATCAACACCACAACAGCCTATCTCTATCTCTGTCTCTCTCTTTCTTTTTTTTCTCTCTCTCTTATCTCTCTTTCTCTATATCTCTATCATCTCTCTCTCTCTCTCTCATCTATATCCAAATCTATATATCATCTATACCTATCTACCAATAGATCTATATCATGTGGTTTTTAAAAGAAGCTATTCACTAACATTTGAAAATGATTAACACAAATCTAAATAATAATAAGTTTTTAAAGACTCTTATGTTCCAAAGAATTAATTCAATGATAAGATAATGAGAGAGAAGATTTTGATGCTATGCGAATAGGCAAGGAGTAGAAAGCCAGTTACAGAAATCATATACACTAGGGAAAGATGAAAAATGCACTTCAAGCATTTGCATTTTGATAGGAACACTTGGAAGCATTTTCTTGCTTGACAATCTAAAAAAAGGAAATCTGTTTGACATGCACATGCTTGTTACCTAATAGAAATTCATTTAATCAAATTCTGAATTCAAGAAATTATAAAAAAAAATGTAAAAATTTCACTCTGAAGCACTGCACCCCACACTCTGCAGACGCTGTGTGTTCTTAGATGACAATTCAGACCTGCACTCCGATCTCTCCAGGAACGGGTTATGACTCTACATGCCTGTAACCGGGGTGCTAGCCATTAGTTAAAACCGGGGTGCTAGCCATTAGTTAAAACAAAGATTGTTGCCTATATTGTTAATGATTAAAAAACCCAGCAATATTTTTTTAAATTTTTTTTTTTTTTGCTTTGTGTGTCTTGTGATCTCTGTTCCATCTACTCAACTCTGCTCTGTTAAAACAGTTACAGGCATTGGATAAATAAATGGAAGTGACTGTGTTCCAATAAAATGTTATTAAAAGACAACAACATATAGCAGGCTGGATTTTGAAGAGTTTGTTTAAAGACCTGATTGCATTGAGTGTCCCATGGTGAGCATTGGTGTGTCTGTCAGCCCTTAATCAGGCGATAATGTCCACAGAGTGTAGTCTCAGGTCCCCTTCGATAATTTCAGTCTATCATTCTCTCTCTAGGAACCATGCCACATATTGCACTAAAATGACTCAAGAGTGCCGCATAGGAAATCTAGAATTTTGAAACATGCAAAACAAAAGTACTAGAATAATCCTAGATTAACTACAAGTAGCTTGACTTTATGTAGTAAATTTAGTAAAACTCATATGATGGAATTGTTATAAAGTTAGTAACTGTTATCTTTTAAAAGTATTTTTTAAGTAGTGATTTTAAAGAAAGTTTATAGAAGGCTTGAGTTTCCACTCATCCATTGTTGCATATTTCTCTCCCTCTCCTTTGAATGAAAAGAATTGTGAGAGACCAAATTGTCAAAGTGGGTTTTGAGTTCATTGTAAAGTTAGAATTTTCAGCAGCTTTATTAATGTTTTTTTCCAAAAGTTTTTTTTCCTTTTGAACATGTGTCATCAAATGGTGTGCCACAATCTTTTATTTATTAATTTATCTTTTTATTATGGCTTGATAAAAACTTATGGAGCAAATAATCTTTACATTCAATAAATAATATACATTTTGATTCATAATGCGAGTAGAAAATTTTCATGAAAGGCAAGGGTGAAAAAAAAATATAGAAATCTTATGATTAAAATGAAACAGCCAAGTACTATCCATGGTGGGGGGGGACGGGGGCTGTGTTATGTAGAGCAGAACCACTGTCCACGACGGCTACATTTGTCAGTGTGATTTATTACAAGTAGAAGTCTAGGTATTTTCCAAATTTAAATGGAAACAAATGAAGAATTAACATTGATTGAACATTGTTGCATGCTATACCTCAGCACCATTAATGTAATACCTAACAGATACTGCTAGGGGAACAAACAGGCTCATCTTAGAGAGCTCATTGAAGGCAAGGATTCTGGCGCTTTGTCTGACATACTGTAGACATGTTGCAAGGAGGGACCAGTCCTTGGGGAAGGACCTCATGCTTGGGAGGGTGGAGGGACAGCACAGGAGGGGAAGACCCTCGATGAGGTGGATTGTCAGTGATTGGGGTAATGAGAGTGGGTGTGTCAGAGATAGTGAGATTGGCAGAGGATAGAGCAGGGTTTAGGGCTGTTGAACATCGGGTCACTATGAGTTGCAGGCGACTCATAACAGCAAAGGATACTACTATTAAATAACAGTGTGGTGACATAAAGTTACTCAGTTTCAGATATATTTCTTAGGTGGGATTTCTATCTTTTAAAGCTGAGTATGGATCTGTGTGCATGGTGGTTCTTTCCTTCAGTTTGGAACCACTTTTTTGCAGTGAGCAGCTCATGGATTCAGCCTTTTCAGTTAGCAGCACAGAGCCTTAGAAATATTAGATTATGGTGCTTCACACCCCCTTTCTTCCTAGTGGAAATCATGGCTATGCTTTTGCCATCTACAAGTTCCTCCTCGTTTCTTTTTTATAAACTTTTTTTAAAAATTTTTATTATTTGTGTGTGTGTACAGTCAAATCAGTTCTGACTGGTACAGGAGGAGATTGTTTCTCCTTCTCCAGCAGAGCGTCTGGTGGATTTGAACTGTATACCTTTGGGATTGCAGTGCAGCTTTTTGCCACTAGGCCACCAGAGCTCACTTCCTCCTTGTTTCTTATACCAGCTCTGCCTGAATCTCAGGCTTTGAGAAATCACTTTAATTTAGTAGAAGAACATGAAAGGAGCATGGAAATAGCATAATGCCATGAAATAATGATGCAAGGCAAGAAAAAGAGTTTCTC